TAAAGTGAATGTAATTTTGTTTTTAATCTTTGAATTGACTCTCAATTGACAACAAATGTGTAATAAATAATCCCTATTTATAAACCGATTAATGTTTTAAATAGCACTCAAATTAGAGGCAAATGTTATTTTATAGACAAATATAAATGGGTTTTTAAAATACAATACAAGTAAAAACTTTTGACATTACAATTCACTGCAACCACTCGTTGGCCACCAATTAATACTTTTCCGATATTAGTCTATAGACATCACTCCAGAGCAGGACATGTAGTTTTAGATACAAACTTCCAGTACTCGGGTATAATTGAAAGCATATTTATTAATTAAAAGTGTTTATTAAATATGTTTTACAAGATTGTTAACGATTATTTTCAAAAATAATTTTATTTTTAAGTATTTTACTCAAAGTTTTGTCGCAATAATTGACTAAATTTAGTTATATTTAATCAAATCGAATAATAATTATACTGAAAATACAAATTTCTGTGATATAAAGGAAACTAAAATAAGATTAATTAATAATTATGTTATTCTAAATATTAATATAATTTAATGAAAAGTTGGTGAATATTCTTACGGTATTTATAGATAATAATAGTAGTAATATAATAACGATAATAGGTAAGTTCTCGACTTATTTTATAAGAAAAGCCAATTATATAGTGAATTAAATGATAGATTTAAGACAATTAGTCATACAATACAAAAATTTAAATTCTAATCTTATTTATAATTAAAACAATAATAATTCAAATCTCCATTAATTTTAAGACAATACAAAAATCAATGTCTAAATCGGTGTCTTATTTGGGATGTGAGTCAACAACAATGGATTCGTTGTCATTACTCTTATCTTTGACCAAACCTTTCATTAAATCAAATGTCATTTTGTTTTGATTCTTGATTTCAATTAATATTTCTTGTAATTTGTTTGAAACAGTGTTTGTCGACAACAACTCATGTCTCAAATCTTTGATTTGAGTCTCCATTGTATGCATTGAATCGATAGCTGTGTTGAGCTGTGCTTTCAATGCCTTCACTTCGGATTCATTGCTTGCCTTCACAGCCGACTCTCCAATGAAATTATAATTTATTTTTTTTAAACAAATTTGATATTTGTAAAAAAAATATAATATTACAGCCCTGTCATCGTCTCGGACTCGCATTGGGATGTACCCTGGTGTAAATGATTTTTACATCTAATACAAAGGGTCCGCACAAATGTGGATCCGAGACAATGACACGGCTGTTATACATACCACGATCTCTTGCCAATAAACAGGTGATTGCAGTTTTGTTTATGGTAGCGAATATTTGCCAATTCATAATCATTGGGATAGGCTGTAAAATTGGCGCCGCTATCGATTATGGTAAGAGTGTTCGTATTATCATTGTATAGACCGTTCATTTCCAGAGCACTCTTCAGATCGCCGATTGTCACGACAGTCGACGGTATGACCACTTGAATTGGTGTATAAGAGTTTATATGGTCATACAATTCGTCCAATTGCTTCGTAGTATCATGGTGATATACTTGGTACTTTTTCATGATATGGTAGTAATTATAAGACAATTGTAATTTAGTTTATAATAAACACCAATTTTTACGTTTAAACGATTTCATTGAGTGTAAAAAACTAATGTGAATTCTATACGTGTTTGGCTCAGTCTTATATACCCATAGCTGAGCTCAGGTTTACAAATAATACTAATTAACATTACATTAAATATTCATTCAGTGCTGATTGGAAAATAACATGATTTTAGGTATTAAGCATATGAGCACAGAATGAGAAGTACAATAATCATAAAGTAATAAATTATTACTAATAATCAATATAAATATAAATCATTTTGAATATAATGCGATCACAATTTGCTACTAAATATAACATTAAATTAATTTTTCAAATTATACAAAAAAACACATTTTATTTAATTGAGCAAGACGATTTAATTATGAGTATTAATTATTCAAAATATTTAGTTACTTTTTAAAAATAATATAATTCCTATAAATCAAACAATTAAATGCAATTAATATAAAATTAGTGATAAAATAATAGACAATTACAAACTCCCAGTACTCGGGTATAATTAAAAGCATATTTATTTATTCAGTAATTATTACATGTTTTATAAGATTGTTAACAATTATTTTTAAAAATAATTTTATTTTTAAGTATTTTATTCAAATTTTGTCACAATAATTGACTTAATTTAGTTATATTTAATTAAATCTAATAATAATTATACTGAAAATACAAACTTATGTTATATAAAGGAAACAAAAATAAGATTAATTATGTTATTATAAATATTAATATAATTCAATGAAAAGTTGATCTTAAAAGTTCACAAATTTTCTAATTTGGTGAATATTCTTACGGTTTTCGACTTATGTTATAAGAAAAACCAATTATAAGTCGTGGAAAAAAGAAAATGCGCTTTTATAGTGTAAACGTAAATTAATTATTTCTTCAGTAAATGATGTGCCCAGTTTATAAATTATATTCTCGTGTAAAAATATAATAATGTAAGATCATTTTACTGGAAACAAAAATTTTGTAGCATTTTCCATTAATGATTAGCAAATCTCCGAACATCACCAATTTTGAACATTAATTTTGTAGAAATTTAATTATGTTGTATTTTACAAAATTGTTCCCGGAAAAATCAAAACTATATATGATAAAAATTGTTTAAATAAGTATAAATGATTGTGATTGTTAAAAAATTTTAACGACAAGGATTATCGCAGTAATACCCAGCCAATGCTCGCCACCCGTCGGTAGTGGTCAAACTGATATGGGAGACCGATGTCAAAAATATCTGCCTAATATATGTTCATACAGTGGAGATGCGGGAAACAAACAATTTAGGATGATCTACAAATGACTGGGAAAAAGTCCAGGACACAAAAATTGGTTTTTGGACAATTTTAGTACCGAAAAAGACCTACCAAATAATGCGTTAAAAAATTAAACAACCAAAACTTTTTAAATACTGGGGATAAAAATTCTATACCAACACTGACTTATACCCCGATATACCCCCTTCCGATTCCCACCAACTCCTATCACTTTGATTGCTTGTTAGAGTAATGGCATTAAAAGTTGCATAGGTCCTCAAATCGAGGCTATATTTGTTTATTGCCTAAAAATCAAGTTAATTCTTTGAATATAAAATTTAAAATTTGGTGGTATAATGAGTGATAGCTGATGATTATTATGACAATTACAACTTTGCTTGAAATTAAGTACTTTAAGTATAAAACAATTTTTAGTATTACGCTAATAAGCGCATTTTCTTTTTTCCATGACTTATATATAGTAAATTAAATAATAGATTTAATACAATTAGTAATACAATACAAAAATCTAAATCTTAATTGTATTTATATTTAAAGCAATAATAATTCAAATCTTCATTAATTTCAATGTTATAAAAAAATCAATTAAATAATAACTAAATGAAAGTTTGAGACAATCTATAAGTCTTTGCCAACACTTGCAATGGATTCGCTGTCATCCGTGTCTTCACTCAATACTCTGGTCTCTAACCGATTCTGTTCTTGATTTCAATTAATATCTCTTGAATTTTGTGTGAATCAGTGTTTATGGCCAACAACTCATGTTTCAAATCCTTGATCTGAGTCTCTATTGAATCCATGGCTGACTTGAGCTGTGCTTTCAATGCCTTCACTTCGGATTCATTGCTTGCCTTCAGAGCCGACTCTCCAATGAAACTATATTTTATAATTAAAAAAAACAAATTTGATATTTGTAAAAACATACAATATTACAGCCTTGTCATCGTCTCGGACTCACATTGGGATGTACCCTGGTGTAAATGATTTTTACATCTAATACAAAGGGTCCGCACAAATGTGGGATCGAGACTATGACAGGGCTGTTATACATACCTCGATCTCTTGCCAATAAACAGTTGATCAATGTTTTGTCGATTGTAGCGAATTTTTTTCACTTCATAATCATTGGGATAGGCTGTAAAACTGCCGCTGTTATCATCGATTATGGGAAGAGTGTTGGTATTATCATTGTATAGGCCGTGGCATTCGAGAGCACTCTTCAGATCGCCGATTGTAACGACAGTCGACGGTATGACCACTTGAATCGGTGTAATCTTATATCTAATGTCATTCCTAATGCTATACCATTGGTCCAATTGCTCCTTAGTATCATGGTGATATACTTCGTACCATTTCATTTTGATGGGTGGCGTCCACAAGTCGTCCATTACAATACGTTAGTAATTAATAATTACTAATTATAAAACAATTGTAATTTAGTTTATAATAAACACACAATGCGTTTACGTTTAAACAATTTTATTGAGTGTAAAAACTAATGTGAATTCTATACATGTTTGCCTCAGTCTTATATACCCATAGCTGAGCTCAGGTTTTCAAATAATACTACCCGTAATTAACATTACATTAAATAGTCATTCAGTGCTCATTGGAAAATAACAGGACATTAGGTATTAAGCATATGAGAAATACAATAATCATAAGTAATAATCAATACTGAATTCTGACAATATACATCATTCTGAATATACTGCGATCACAATTTCCTACTAATCAATAGCATGTATTTATTAAATTGTATACCAAAGTATTTATTGATAATCATTGTCAATGATTCATTGATTAGTCTACAGACACCACACCAGAGTAGGACATGTAGTTTTAGATGCAAACTCCCAGTACTCGGCTTTAATCAAAAGCATATTTATTTATTCAGTGATTATTACATACAGTTTTATAACATTGTAAACAATTATTTTAAAAATAATTTTATTTATAAGTATTTTATTCATAATTTTTTTTGCAATAACTGACTTAATTTAGTTATATTTAACCAAATCTAATAATGATTATACTGAAAATACAAACATATGTGATATTAAGGGGGAAAATAATGTAGGATAATTATGTTATTATTAATATTATCATTGCCTAAGTTATTGGCTTATTTGGGATGTGAGTCAACACTGGCCATGGATTTGCTGTCATCCGAGTCTTCGACCGATTGTCTGATGTCTTTGAGTGCTGTCAACGTTATCTCCTTCTCTATCACTAAAGCCTTCAATAAATTGTTTGTTATTTTGTTTTGATCTTTGATTTGATTCCCGATCTCAATAAACATTTCCTGAATATTGTTCTCATCTCCGGTTTTGTCTGAATTAGTGGTCAATTGATTGTGGGATCCGATCGATGAAGACATGGACGACATGTCCTGTTGAACACTCGCTGAACAACTGTGTGATAAAACGTTACAAATTAATATTGCATTGAATGATAATTGTATTTTTAACACAATTAAAAATAAACCTTATATTTAAAGCATTGATGTCTTGAGCCAATAGTTTGACATCGGATTCAATGATATGTTTGGATGCCTTCAATGCCGACAACTCTTCACTCAATTCACTGTTTTTTGTCGATATTTCACATAATTTTTGCTTCAAATCTGTAATCTCTTTTCGAAAACTGAGAAAAATATAAATAATCATTAAATAAATAAACTAAAAGCTAAATATAAAAATAATATCAAACCTCGAGATACAAGTCAACAACTTTTGTTTCAAATCATTGTTTCCTTCAATCCATGTCTTTATTGAATCCTCTGATGTTTGCATTGAATCCATGGCTGACTTGAGCTGTGCTTTCAATGCCTTCACTTCGGACTCATTGCTTGCCTTCAGAGCCGACATCTCTTCACACAATTCACGACACTTTCGGTCGAACACATCAAACAGTCTATAATTTTTATAAATAAATTAATATTTTATATTATAATAAAATACATGAAAACAAGTCAATTTAAACCTGGATGGTTGTTTGTTGTCCACTGGATTGGATCTCTTCATAATATACAATGATTTCGTGTAAGGTGGGTGTTTTTCACCATATAGATGTCGCAATTCATAATCATTTGGGTAGGATATAAATTGGCCACGATGTTCGTTTGCCTCTACCATAAGAATGTCCACATTATCATTGTATAACCCATTGGTTTCGAGTACACCCTTCATATCGCCGATTGTCTTAGCATTGGATGGTTGGTGCACTTGCATACATATGTTACCCATATTATACCGATCATCTTGGTATTTTACAATGTAACTGTGCATTATATGTTATTAATTATACAATAGTTGGAAAAATTTATAACACAATTACTAATTTAGTAAATAATTTAATAACGATTATTATTTTGCTGATTGATTGTGTGATGTATGGATTGTCGGCCTATAAGACTCAAACAATTAATATTTGTTGTTAACGACTGAAACTGTTGTTTAGTTTAGGGCGAGGTTTACATGGCGAGAGACATCAATGCTTTAAATATAAGGTTTATTTTTAATTGTGTTAAAAATACAATTATCATTCAATGCAATATTAATTTGTAACGTTTTATCACACAGTTGTTCAGCGAGTGTACTTAGGCAATGATAATATTAATAATAACATAATTATCCTACATTATTTTCCCCCTAGAGAGGGAGGGAGAGAGTATGGGTCACAGATAAGCCTATTGGATGTCCGGCCATCGACTTTCACTGATAAATGCGATACAAGTGTTGAGTCCATACAAACTCAAGGCCTGGTTCTTAGAAACAGGACTTTCAAATGCATTGTATTTTGCATATCATATGCAAAGCCTGTGACAACTAATGCCTATTTATAATAGATCGTTGTTTAGGATTAATTAGCATTTAGAGGGTATTGCGATCACAATTTGCTACTAAATTAATTTTTACACATATTATTTAATTGTGCACGACGACTTAATTATGATTATTTGTATATAAAATAAAGTTTAGTTATTTTTTGAAAATAATATAATTTCTATCAATCAAACAATTAAATGCAATTAATATAAAATCAGTGACAATTATTTTATTAGTACTAAATTTGATAATTATTTATTTATTTATTAAATAATTTAAATGCAATAGTAATAATTATATCTAATCCGTCAAAAAGTATTTGCGCCTAGAAAAATCGATTATCTCCTAAACTAAACGAGCTAGATCAAATTTGTAAAAAGTAAAATGTAGTTCCATATGTTAAGTTTTTTGTGCCAAAAAATTATTGAAATCACGTGACCACAACATAGAAAATTTTGGGTCAAATCGATTTGTCATATTTTTTGCCCACCTCGAGGGGGGCTAGGAAGGGGGCGGGTATGCTAATCTATAGAGGAGATGTCAAAGACTATGATAGCAAATTGTGATCGCAATACCCTCTAAATGCTAATTAATCCTAAACAACGATCTATTATAAATAGGCATTAGTTGTCACAGGCTTTGCATATGATATGCAAAATACAATGCA